TTATAAGACCGAAAGTAGTCCTAATAGTCTATAGCAGTACCTACTACATATTATTCATTACCTATATTATATGATATACCTAACTCTATATAGCTCATAGTAGCTCTATATATATATTATAATTTAAACCTATCACATACTAGACTATTACCACTAAACCCATTATCATAGGTTATACATTATATAGTATAGCCACAAGGATATATTCATTATATTATGTACCTACTATGTATCATATTCCATAGACCATAGTATCATATATCTGAGTATTATAATATACTTTTTTGTTATAGCATTATTACAAATGCGGGTTTTGAACGACATTTGAATGTTTTTTTGCTCTATAGTTTTTGTACTGTCATAGTTATTTTCTCAGTTACCTATATGGCTATATACCTAATAGGAATTATATTAAATAAACAATAAAACATAGGTAGAAATTAAATTGCATTGAATACGCATATACATATATATATTATTATGTAGCCATATGCCCATATGCTGGTTAGTGGTTAAGTTAATATATATAAGTTAAAATTTATTACACGTATAACGTGTGCTTATTGGTATAGGTGCATAATAATATATCGTCGGCCTAATTCGTAGATATCGTAACTCTATAATGACTACTTTTTAAGAAGAACAAAATACATCTGATTAATTTAAAAACATTTTTTTTTTTTTATTCTTAATCTAGACGAAATTATTACATTTCATTTGATATCAATAATTCAATAAATAAATAATATTGTAACGTTATTTTGATAAATATTATTTATCAAAAGTTTTGGAGATACGACTATTTTCTTTGGTTGAAGTTGAGCTAATTTTGTCTGAACTTTAGACCATGCTCATTCATGGAAGAAACATTGCCATTTCAAAGTGAAAATGGTCTTAAGCAATGAGTTATTTTTTTCTAAAAAGAAAAATTATAATTTCAAATACTCTGCAGTTTTGGAGTTATGATAATTTATTGTGAATTAGGCAGACGATAAAGGTAATAGGGATATATATTATAATTATAAATAACCCATTTATCCAGATTGTTTGTTTCCACACAACACGAAATTATTTATCATTTAATATGTTCGAATTCTTTAGAATTTGTTTAGATAAACCGATAACATATAAATTAATTAACCTTTATGTGATATAATAATATATAGGTAAGGGGATCGGAGTGGCCGAGCGGACTAAGGCGTCGGTTGCGACGCACACCTACGCTGGTTTGATACCTCGGACATGGGCGGCATTTTTCTTCGGGCAAGTTCCGGTGTCCGGAGAACAAGTGCTGCCATCCCCCATCCGGACAAGGCAGATAGCTAGGGGTGTCAAATCAAAAATTCTGCCAAAAAAATACACACGTGTTCCCCCCCCTACCAACAAAAACTTACAAACAAAACAAAAATAGCTAATTGCCTTAGTTGCTCAACAACAATAAAAAAAATATATATATATAAATAGGAACGTATATTATACAGTACCTATCTAATACCTATATGCGGCTGTATATATATATATTACATTCAGGTATAATATGAGTGGATTATGGTTATAATAATTTATCGTTATTTAAATTTTATATTTACAAGTACCTAGTACCTACAGTAGGTTTACAAAGCCATTTTTAAATATGTGATATTTTTGAATGAGTTGAGTGTAGGGGAACGAAGTTGATAATTGTGTTATCCATGATCAAAAGACTAGATATAGCTATAATACTGAGAATAAAATAAGTATAGTGGCCTTCAGCACCTCCAATTTGTTCATCAAAAGTGCGTCCTCAAGAAGGTATTTTTGTCAATGATTATCACAAGTGGATATTGATAGTATAAAGAGATTATGCGTGATATATTTATTCATCTATATGTTTATATTACAATATGCATGCGATATTACACCACTTCTCCAAAATGAGACATAGGTATGAGTGGACTACACAACCAGAAGAGGATCCTATATATAATATTCCTATATTTGAAAACCAGATGACGTATTCGCACTACATCACAGAGGGAGTGGTTGTGGCCGTGGGACCGTTGCATATTATTTTTTTCTGTGATCCACGAATCTGCGAGTATAACCTCTGCTCAACTCTAGACCCTGAAGGCCCTCATTTATAGGTACCATATATATAAATGAAAAAAAAGTGAATTTTATAATTAGGTAGCATAATAATACGTTAAGTCGTTGTGTACCTATATCTATAGGTAAAGCTTATTTAGGTGTATTAAATAGTACTTAAATACATGAATATATGTATAGTATATACAAATTTTGTAGGTACGTGGAATTTTATTGGATTGAATGCATTTGTATACGTCTAATAAATTACCATTTACAACATTTTATGCCTATTGGCCATACATTATCATAATAATTATTATTATCGAATAATAATATGTCTCGACGTCGTCCGTCCGGGCCGTGATTACATATCTATATACCTATAACTTTACCGATATATATATATATTTATTATTATTATTATCAGTGGGGGGGTCTACCCGTATACCTATAACGTGTGTACCTATACTTTTTTTTATTATTATTATTTTGTCGGAAACACGTCGATCTCGTGTAAGTACAAACATGGCGGCGGCACATCAAAGAGACGTTATCTGTTACCGAACGGGTTCCGAACGGACGTACAACGTTTCGACTCCGCCCCGGAGGGCTGTACCAATACGCAACCAATAGAACGTCAACCGCAACGCACTACACATAGATATACGTTTGTGTGTGCGAGAGTGTACGGCGTATAATATAGTGCACATGTGTTATATTTAATAACGTGACGTATACCGCGTATATTGCACGTTTTGCGTAGCGAGGACAATGACGACGAGACTATACGAGAGTATAGTATTATAATATATTTGCTATAGTGTCTATGTATATTCATCTTGGATATAACCTATAAAAAAATAATATATTATATAATATGGTATTAAATAAATGTACATAATATTATTAAGTCATAATACTGGTACATATAGGCATTAGGCACATATTATTATATAGGCTTAGTCAGCCGTATCAGGTTAAAAAAGCGATTTTACAAGTTAGATTGAGTGTAAAATAAATTACATGATTTCCGTGCATTCAAATCTGTATACACGAATATAAGGTCTACAATAGTGTCAATAAAAAAAATAGTTTACCACTTTTTTAGATCATTTATTTTTAAATAAAAATACAATAAATACATTTTGAACATACGATAAATATAACTAGCTGGTTTGAAATGATTTTTTTTGGAGGATTGATGCGAGTGTGATGAATTTTCCTTATCTGCATAGCTATATCTATAAATGACTAAATCTATTAAAATTGGTTCATACCATTTGTATACAAATAAGAATAAGATGAAGATAATTTATTACTATCGTAGAATTACATTTAAAAATATAATGCCCATTTTATGAATCAACGAGTCGTAATTTTCTACGCTACTATATAGGTTAAACAACCTATTGAAATACCTCTGCACAGAATAGTATACCTACATATTTTATTATAGAAATTCAGCGGTTATCAAATATCAATATATTATAGATCTATTATTTATTTCTAAATAGGTACGACTTATGAGTAGGTACCTATACCTACCTATATTATAAACTGCTGTCTGCTAGTGTTCAATAATATTGTAATGTATGTTGTATAGGTAGTATATAGGTACATAGAAATGTACTTAATCATTATAATAGGAATGTAGGTGTTCACAGATATGATCAATTATATACCTACATATCTATGTACCTATAGGCTGTTTATTGAAATATAGACCAATATAGTGTGATAACGTATACGTTTTCATTTTCTCATAGGTACCACAACACGGTCAACGCATTTGTTTATTATAATATGTCCGTGATATATTATACTGATAAAGTATAAACTAATATTGACACATACGATCACATGCATCATTTAACCTATATCTTATATACCTACCTATAAGTATATAAGTATAATATGTATATAATATTATCACATAGGTAGTACCTATATAATTTTAAGCTTTAATATTAATGACCTGCAGCTATTAAATCTTTTAATAAAATGCACAGATATATAATATTATGCTGCAGACAGAGATGTCATAATATAATACGAATATACCTATATATAAACATAATAAACGGATCTGGATTCATCGACGTAACTGCAGCTAATACCTCATTCTGCAGTCGTATTATTGTACTTCATACTGTGTATAATATATTATAAAATTATATAGTATAGTTACTAGTTTACCTATAAGAATTATACGAATACTGCATGCCCATCATGTCCCACGATCGTTTAGGCCATTGGTAGAAATAGTATATGTTCCTATACATTCATATTGCATTGGTGCATGGTGATTCTTTTAACAGTGTTCACTAGTTAACTCGAAAATTATTAATCATTAATTTTTTGTCGTCATTTGATTTTTCGAAAATTTAAGATACTTGCAAATTTCTGTTAAAGAATCACCATCTAAACATATAAATTTCCAACATTTGTATATAGGTCGTAGACGTATTGATATATTATATAATATAGCATATTATTATAAACATAAAATAAATTGTAAATATGTACATACCTACCTAATATAGGTACCTATAGCACGTGCAATTATATTGTATAATATAGGTATATATGTCTACTAAAAGTGTATATAAATTATGTATAGATTATATAGGTACAAATATCTATATTATGTATAGTAAAAAAAATACACGAAATATCGCAGGCGGCATACTTATATATATACACGTATAATACGCGTCTATGTAATAATATGTATTTTATGTGTGTTGGCCGTCGACAGGAGCAGTGTGTTTTATATTGAATTGCACCGCAATGTAGCGGATACATATATTATACACGCTAGCGTATCGCATCATACCTATACTGTATTTATATACATATTAAATTGAGCAAATTGACATAAGCTGCGTATAGATTTTATTTAAAATCAGGTGTCTTGTTGTTAAATTTTTCAGAACGGCGGCGGCTGAGTCTGTGCGTGGGCTGCGGCGGTGCGATCAACGACCAATACATACTGAAGGTCGCTCCGGACTTGGAGTGGCACGCGGCTTGCCTCAAGTGTGCCGAGTGCCATCAATTTTTGGATGAACATTGTACCTGTTTCGTGAGGGACGGGAAAACCTATTGTAAATTAGATTATGTCAGGTAATAATGATCTAAATATATATTATTATAGTTATATACTTGTATAATTGTATACGTATTTTTACCATGCACACATATTTTAATTTATAAATGAAAACTAATTGGTAGTAAGTTTTTTAAATAAAGCGAATGTCTCTGTATTATATGATAATATGAGCTGTATATTAACACAATCAATTCAATGTTAGGGAGTAACTATAAATAATAATAGTATATATAGCTACTTTAAACATCAAATTCAACACATCCATCACAAGTTTGCTAAAAGCCTGAAAGAGTTAACGGCTGTGTCCAAAATATATTATCTTATATATTGTGTTACTACTTACTACATACCTATAAATTATATTATATTATTTAAAGTGTATATTAACTGCGGTGGTTATAAATATCGATGAAATAACCAACACATCATACATTTAATATAGGTATATAGGTATATAGGTATATACATATGGTGACTGGTGTAATTAATACACGATCTTTACTTCTGACAATGTAAAATGTATCCACCCATTACAACTCAAACGTTGTTATATATATAGGTCTTAATATACATTGATCGGTGTAGTAATATATTATAATAAGACCTAATCTTTATATTTTACGATATCGGTGTATGTTTGGACATGTACCTAATACTAAACTTTAAAAATCTTGTCATGGCGGTGATACTGGATCCCGGCCTAGTTTTCCTGGGACCTCCCGAAAAATCGTTATGACGTACACCTATACATTTTAGTATAATCGTTTGACTTTCATCCTTATAAGATAATATTATCATATATATATATGCCTTATATTATTAACACGTTCGGGTACTATTTTTTACGGGAGTATAAAACGCATTACGCAAGCAGTTAAATTTTCAACTGTTGTGTTTTTTTATATTATTATTATATTATGACTATTATTTTTACATCTAATGCTGGGAGTTATTTTTATGCACGAGCTTATAGTATTATATTTGCTTTTGGAAACATAAATTTTAATATTTTTCGTATATATCACGTGCCTCTTTTGGCAGAATGTTCATAGCGCGTAAACTCGTCATTAGTATGCGCCACTATGCGGTGCAGACAGTATGAAAACGAAAGAATTTTTATATTTTGGTTTGAAAGAAAAAAACAAATGTATCATAATAATAATTATGTGCGCGTCACTCGTTATACACAAGCTAGTAAACTATGTTCTAACTTCTATGACAACGTCCGTATAGTATTTAATATTTTTTGATTGATTTATAATTTATAAAACCCGATAACTTGTCAGTTGTCAAGAACAATATCAGTCATCACGATGACTGCAGACTATAATATAATATGTATATAGCTGCATAGGTCATCGTCGATACATTATATTTGTTTTTTTAGCCTACTATATAATAGTATTTGTTGTAATAGATAAATTAATACTGTAAATATATATACAGGATGATTTACCAAGTTACTCACTCTCTACTCTCATGTATTTCTTTAAATATGCATTTATTTAAATTCTGATTTTTAAAAATTTGAAGAACCCCTTATATAGGTCATTATACTCCTTCTACATAATAATTTCAAAAATCTACTATTTGATTTTTGTACCATTTAACTTTTAATTGTTAGACAGATACATTTTAACGAGTAGTTAGATGGTAGATTTTAGATTCTGAGTAGAACGATGAATGTATTGATTTTACAATGATGTGTGTTTTTTTTTTTAATTTTTAATTTTATTTGTGTCTGTGTACACGATAAGTAGTCGAAATAATGCTTCGATTTTCAACTTCAGTATCTTGTTCGATTAGAAAGTGAATATATCGTTGGTGCATTAGGGAGGATAAGCGCCAAGAAAAACAAAAGAAAAATTAAGGAAAACGGCAATTTTTACGCAAAATCGATTTTTCACAAAATTGAATTTGGTTTTTGGTGTAATTTTAAAACAAATGGCTGTAGATACATGGAATTTTTACTGGTTGTTTATATTTGCATTTCATTTTCACCACACAATTTTGAAAAATTTTTTGACTCTTTTTGAGCTGTATACGGACATTTACAGTTTTCAATTTTTTTAGTTTTTTTTTCTATAAATATCAATAAAGTCTTATCTGTTGGGCCAAAAAAAAGTGTAATAATTTAATACAAGACTCCTAATATATTGTTACAATATCAGTTGAAAAATATTAAAAATACATAGGCACAATTTTTTTTTTATAAGCATTTAAAGATCGAATTTTGACAAAATTTATCAAATTTAAATTGAATAATTATTTTGTAGTTAAAAATTTAAGAAATGTTCAACTTTTATATCTAAGGATTGAAAATTTAAAATAAGATTCCACATAAGTAGTTTATTCTGTTACCAAGAAATCTAAAAAATACGTAAGCACAGTTTATTTTTATAGTCATTTTAAGTTAAAATTTGAACGAAATAACATATTAAAATCAATATTAACGATTTTGGTTTTTTGTTGTAATTTAAAAATATTACTTGGGGATATATGAAACTGAAAAATTAAAAAATCAAAATATCATAGCCTATCCATACAATCTACCATAGTATAAGGAATAAGAAGTATGCTCAATGATAAGACTGCAGTGCATATTTTTTTTATTACCATTGATATGTATATAATATGTCTTAAACCTAGGCTGACATATACCGTCTCCTCTCAGAATCGTTTTTCTTATTCAATTATATTATATCATTAAATTCAAATTTAATACCATCCATTATACAGTGATCCACTTGTAACCTACTGTACAGCAGAGCAGCTTTTATTTCAAGTATTGCCTATATAGGTTGCTTAAGGTAGCTCTCACAAGTATTTCATTTTGGCTAACAAAAATAGAATTTTTTTTATTTACATACCTAATTATATAGAGTTGCCGTTAGTTATAACTTATAGAAACAAAACTTAAAAAGAAAATTTTTATATAGACTATTTAGCTGATCTTCCATACGTTGCTATAGGTTTTTTTTGTAAATAAATTAAAATTATATTAAATTAATTGTTTGAGCAAAGGCACAACAAAAGGCATTGTTATATGTGTAGCTATTATAGACTCAAAAACTACTATGCCAATTTTTACGAAAGTTTCAGTTATTGTTCTTCGAGATATCAGGAAATTTTGGAGAGTATAATTCGAACCACGTTTGAAAATATACCAACTGCTAATATTTCCATGCACCACAGGCCTATTGCCCATCTCACCACCTCATTTATCCGTGAGCTGAGGTACACTAAAACCAAGATACATCGATATGGCTTAAATTATATAACGAACATTCGTGGACGTATTAGAATCAAAATTTTCAGAAATTGTTAAATTTCAATCGATGACATAAAGTCTAGTTTTGTTAATGTATTGATATTGAAACGTTACAATATAAAAATTAAAAAAACATAAAACATATACCTATAACACTTACGTACAGGCGTAAAGCACTATTGTTATATACCTATATGGCTAAACAATCTATACAAATATGATGTATAATAATATGTAGGTATAGCTAGACAGCGAGTGCATGTTTTATTTTACGACAAACTGAATACGGAGTCCGTTATATATAAAACAAACCCGTATATTTTTTTGCTAATTTCTGTGAACATAGTCATTTGATATTTTCGATATAATATGACATATATAATAATATATATATATATATGTCATATTTTTTTTAATGATTACTATGTGCATTTTGTGACGGACGTCAAATGCATCTGCACGCCTCTTGTTTTCGAATGTCTGCCGATGTTTACACGGTACTCATACCCAATTCTCCCTTTGAGTAAATAAATCGGCTCTGGGGCCTTCCATGACAGATGACATTGTGTCAATATAGGCACACACATTCTATTATTTCCTGCAGCTAGGGTCATACGAATGCCGCCAAAGTTATGTGTATATATGCGGTGGATGTTTTTTTTATACGTATGATGTGTATATAGAGCCGTATAGGGTAACGTCGACACTCGACCTAATGGTAATAATAATAATAATATAATATACGACAATCGAAAAACCTCATACAGACATATTCCGCTATTTATATATCGATAAATCATTTAAAATAATCTGCTTAATATCGATCATCACTATACAGGTGTAAAGTTGCACTATTATAATATTACGCATAATAATATAATATGTATAGGTACCCACATATTTAAATCTAAAATATTGTGTCCATCCCATCACCAGTCATCAGCACGCAGTTGTATTTTATGTTTGAAACAGTAATCACTATAGTAGTTATAATGAGGAATATAATAATATAATTTATGTACATATTATAGGAGGTAACCTAACCTAACCTCGGCCCTGAATTAAAATAAAAAAATTAGTGGAAATAATGGAAATTATACATTTATATACCTACTGTATATGTAGTCTTTTATTTTAAAACTTTGGGTACTAATTCATATTAATATCAAGATATTTCTATTTCCCTACATTACTAAGTTGTGATCTATGAATTGTGTAATTAACTTACAATAATCAAATTGAAATACCACTGTAATAATCACTGGTTTTTTTTTCAATTTTAATTATGTCGATTTTTTTCACTTAGGTAATATACTAATATATAATTTATTCTTTATATTATAATCTTTTTTTTTCATCATAAAAAAAAAAATTTATTTGTATACTCTATATGTAACGATTTAATTTTAATTGTTAACGACCGTTGGTACTCAGTGTGCTGACTGATTTATCACATAATAACAAAATAAAGTACTTATCAAAATTATTTATAAAGCATTTTGCAAAATACCTTAATTTCATTGTTATATTATAAGTACTATAGTACAGAGTACAGAACACTGGATTGCGTAGCTATAATACTTTACAGTCTGTTAAACCTATATCTGGCTATCCAGTATTTACATACAATATCATAATATAAAAAATACTATTATATTATATCCCAATATTGTCTTTACGTTTATCATTTGAAAACAATGATTAGTCATAAATTATGTAGTTATGTAATTATTTGATTTCTTAAAAATATAATTTGTACTTCTATAGGTAGTATAGTTACAATTTATTTCATTGCTAAATCTAGATTACTATTGATATTAAACTTCAATAATTAGGAATATTTATATATTGTATAACTTGCAGTATGATGTGTACAATGTACATGCGCATGCACATACCTATAATATAATAGTATATTATTATTATTATTTGATAGTATGTTTAATATTTTATGCTGTTTAAGAGGACGTCACAATCGCATGCGTGTTGTCTCCGTCTTATAAATGTACAACATAGCAAAAAAATGTACTAGGGTGGGTACAATTTTACTCCCTCTGTATTTATATAGTAGAATTACCGAAATTCCACAAAGCGTTGGGAAGAATTGCATCTGTGTTGTTGTGTTTTCATTTTTTTAATAGCACTAATCAATAGTTTTTAATAATTAAATAAAAAAAATAAAAAAACTAATGTTCTCAAACTAATAGCTTTAAATATATTTATATTATCCAAATAATAAAAACGCTACAACACAGATAAGGTGTTTGGTAATTTTAGTATAAATACAGAGGGAGTAAAATAAAATTTTCCCTCTCAAAACTGTTTTTCACACATGCGGGTGTGACTTCTTCTTAAACAGCATAAAATACTAAACATATTATATATACCTAATATTATATTAATATAGGCATACCGAATTGTACATTGTACACAGCATACTTCAAGACTCAAGTTATATAATATATACATTTTACTAATCATTTAAGTCTCTTATCAACACGTCCTCTTAATGTATTTTATAGTGTTAAAAGTTAGTATTTATTAATTTTAAATATATAGATTTTAATGATTAACTGACTTACATTAACTAGTATTGATATAACTCATTTTGAAAAATGTACCAACCCTGGGAAGACTTAAACGCTATGAAATCTCTATCAATATTTAACAGTGGGCCGTTTTAAGAGCTGGACTATAAAGTAATTTTTCCATAGAACCTCAGTTTAGTATATTTTTAGGGCACCCAATAATCTCAATAAAGTCGGCCGCAATTAGATACCTACTATATATGGAAGCAATACACATCTCTAAATTATAAGCAATAAAGCACGGTTATAACTTGAGGTACCACAACAGTATCTATATTTAATTTATTTGTAATAATGAAGTTTATTCAGTGTGATCCTAAAATATTTTAGTTTATAAATGTATGTGTAAACACAAATATATTGGTCTAATAGGAGTTTAGGAATGGTTAGAAAAATTTGTTTGGGGAAGGGGGATGATTGTATAAATTATTTTTTTTCATCATACACTAGGTATACAGCATAATATACTATTCTTTATAATATAAAGTTCTATATTATAGAATAACCTTTTCTGATTTGAGGGGATACTTATATGAATGCTTCAGCTCTTTATTAGTATGGTAAAACTATAAATTTGTTAGGTTAGTTATTTTTTAAATTTTTATTGTTCCTTAGGCTGTTTATAATTTAATAATAATCAATATTATTATAATTCATTATAACAATATTACATAATAACTTTGTCATAAAAATTTTTGAAAATTAAATCATTTATTACGTCAGATATAATCAAGAATAATTATTATAGCCAATAGCCGCTATTAATTGCGTACAGTAAGTAAACAAGTAAATAGTAATACATAATTATATCATAGGTTTTAATATTTATTACTCAATATAAAGTAAACATATAGTTAACTTTGTATAAACATGGGTACCTATCAATTATATTATATCAGAATTGACACACTGAATGTTATGGTTTTTTGTATCAAAACTGATTGTACAGGACACAAAAATACAAAATACATTATAATATGAATTCTATATATCTATATATATTATTATATAGAACATATTGACGTATAATAAATAATTATATTTAAGGGACTTTTATGAACTATTTATACATGTAACAGAGGTCACCGTAAGCTACTAATCATTTATATTATATTAATTTTCTAACGCTTTTACAGTTTGTTATTTTCTGCTCCGCCTGGATGAAAATTATTCTACACCTGCTGCAGTACCTTTATAATTTCAATGAGGCGCGTTAGACACTAAAATAAATTATTGAATGCAACACATTTTTTGCCACAATAATAAATGTTGGTGCTTGGCATTCGGCGTCTCACCGTTCCGTTGATAGATCTTTGAATAACCCGTTTCGAATTCCTATATAAATAATTGTACTGCAGGTGCATCATATTGCGACGCAAACTCTGTTCTCGGGTTTCTTTTTTTGATCTGGTCACTGCCAAATAATTGTATCTAGGTATATATTACTATATTACTAACTACTACCTAAATATTTGACTGATATTATTATAGTATGTATCGTAGGTATTTTATATTATTAAAGACAAGTGATAACGACTTTAAGGTGCTAAAAAGATGCACGTTAACGAAACTTAGGTATACTGCAGTCCGTCTCGGTGTTTATTTTTTCTAGGTCTTTGTGTGTACGTGTATAATACGCAGTGTACACTGTACATAATTAAATATTTTTTTACGAACAAAACCGAACTGAGCTTCTGCGTTACACTTTATCACATTATATACATGGCGGAGTGCATTATTATATTGTATATATGTGTACAGTATAATAAGGAATCCATTAATCCTGACGTAGTGGTAAGTGTGTAATATATAGGATCGTGTAAAACGATTTATTTTTTTCGCACTCGTACGCGCTCGTTGTTTGTTTACCAAGTCGACCGTGAATACAGTAGTCGCGATCACGGTATACGTATATAATGCTTAATACAACACACCTTTAGATGATCCGGATCGCGTTGGTTTTACTTAAAGCCGGCTGCGGCAGTGGCAGTGTGGCACACGTGTTTTCGGTTTCCGAAACGGTACTTATTAAAATATGTACGTTTAGTGTTTATAGTTTTTTTTGTCCTCTACGATCTATATATGCACGTGTATAATTCGAAAACGCTAATTGTGGATTGACATGTTGTTTATGTAATATTTTAAAAATATTATATAAATCTCGTTGGGTGGCCGAAAAGAGATCCGATATGTCTCGGCTTCCGCGTGTTTCTTGTCGTACGTATGCGCGTCGCACTTGTCAATACAACGAGCGCAGCGCGACAGCGGTTAAACCTTTTTTAATTTTTTTTTTTTATTAAACCTGTCAGCTATTTTTTGAAAAAATTATTTCTCTCGCATGAAGCGATGATGGCAACTGGCAAGTCGTGCAAAAGATTATTATAATAAGTCCGTCTGAAATACGCGCACTATATCTTTAGGTCGTATTTAGTTGTCAAACGTTTATATCAACTAATAGGTAGGTTAAATTATAATAATTCGCCGCAGGAGATCTGCAAAGAACTCGTCACAGGCAACAATATTAAACAAGAAGATTAATATTCATGTTATTGAAATGTTACAGCGTATACCTACTCTTAATGAGCGCAGTTAAGTTTTGTAGTATACCAATATGTTTTCATTTCTGCAGGTGTTTTACGACATTGAATCTAAATGTTAAATTAGATACGTGGGTGGAAGTAGTGGTATAGTGCAATAATTTTAATAAATATTTAAAACATATATAATATTGCACTTAACTATATAATCTAATTGTAAGCTAATAACCATGATGTTGATGCTGTAACAATAATAAAAAAAAAAAAAATATTGCACTTACCAGTGTAGATTGTAGAAATAGAGTATACAACGCTGCAGTTAACGATCAGCAATTTTGTTTTATAATAAACCCGGTAATAATATGATATTATAGGCTTTGTGTTATACGTTTATGATTTAATATTATACATAGTTATTTCGGGTTTTTCAAAACTTGAGGTTTTTGGCGGATATCGATCATGTTTTAGTATGTTCAGTTATTTAACTATAATCACGGAACTCTTTTGACGATTTTCTGACTTAGTTTGACGACGGATGTTTCAAGATGTCGGTTTGTTCGTTAATCGAGTTAATTTCAAATTTGTCAATCACGATCTGGGAAAAGTTTCGGCGAGTGCGAACTTTGTCAAAACAAACACATAATAATGTTACGCGGCAGGACGAGCGTGCATATAATTTATTGCATTATACCTACTGTATATTATACACCCGTATTTTTGTGTACCTATTGCTGACAGTAAAAATAAAATTCTTACTGAATTTTTCTCTTCTCATCTCCGTAATAACGATTTTATTGTTTCAGATTATTTGGCACCAAATGTGATAAGTGCAACCTGAGCTTCGACCGAACCGAACTCGTAATGAGGGCCAAGACTAAAGTTTATCACATGGAGTGCTTCAGGTGCAACGCGTGCAGCAGGCAGCTCATACCCGGCGACGAGTTCGCGTTGCGCGACGACACGCTGCTGTGCAAACAGGACCACGACCATCATCCGGGCGTGAACGGTGGCGGAGGCGGCGGTGGCGGTGGCGGCGGTGGTGGCGGCGGCGGCGGTGGTGGTGGCGCCAAGAGTAAAATAGCCGCTCAGCTACAGCAGAGTAACGAGAATAACAACAACAACACTGCGCTGGCCGACCACAACACTAGCAGCACCAACTCGTTGCACCACAATGAAGGGTCGAACTCTGGTAAGTACCTATTTGCAAGCGCGTTTGTACAGCAACTTCGTTATCTTATCGCCACAATATTAAAGTTATATTTTTGAGGAGTTTAAAATCGTGAAATATTTCGGTGAAGTGTCAGAAAGAGAAATCTTTAGGTATTTTGAGGAAAAATGTAAGCTATAATAGGACATATATATGGGTACTAGCGGTATCGGATATATAAGTATCCAAATCGAAATCCTAAACTTGATTTTCCACAAGGCCGCGAGTTCCCGTTCCGTCTAAAAACAATATAGTTTAATAACACATACACATTAAAACCACATTACGTACTTATGTATTTTCAATTACATGACGCCGCAAGCGACGACCTAGCGCCGCCGCACAGTGTGGCCCAACGCCGAAGAATCAGAATTACGTCTTCATAAAACGACGCCCTTGTGTTTTATATTGTGTCATAATATATAGGTATATAATACTATACACATATACATATTTTGTGCTGCTCAGCTAAATGTATAGGTATATGGATGTACCGGTAACCTACGTATGGCGCAAACATATATACTTTGGTGAAAGTGTAAAGGGTGGAATACCGACGAGCGGTGGCGAGTGTTGATTGCGGGGACAGTGTATAATTATATATAAATATATATATATATTTATATATGTATATATATATATATATGTGTGTATATATATAAATATAAATGTATATGCTATGACGAGTCATTAGCCTAATGGAAACACCGTATACGTGCGTCACTGCAGGACATCGTCCACCCCAATCACAGCGCTTTTATATGAATGTATATAATATACCGTTTCATGTGCAGTTGGCGCAATAAACACATATCTGCCTCGTTCCCTGCTCCTTCCGTATCGGTCTATACTTTTATATATACAATATAATTTTTATACACCGTGCGTATAGTCCTACGATTGAAATGTCTTTCTTCTCACTCTCGTCAGAACCACGCAACCTGCAGACCCGAATCTGCACCATACTTTTTTAGCATGTTTATTTGAAATAAGTGAACGCCATAGTATATTTTATTATATACTGTATTTTATTTAGATATAGAGAGAAGAATTCGCGCATGAATACTATTCATAATATTGTGTATCTTTAGGTATTATTAATGTAATATACACTGTAGTGGATATACACAGAGAAGGTATTATTTTGTGACTTAAGAGGCATTCGTTCCTTTGAGGTTTTAAAAATATGGAATAATTCGTGAATACTGCTAAATTCTATTTTAGTAATTTTTAAGAGTTATAATTTAATTGAGTAGGTGCATTAGACCATAGACAATACATAGTGCTCGTACCTGACAGTTTTTAAGTTGACTATACCACTACATAATAATAATTATATATAGGTACCATCACATTAATATGTACCTAAGGCAACAGTATTGAGTATATACATATTGGCTTTAACCTATATTATAGAATGACCTATTTGATGTACATAAGGACTTACTTAATTTACTTAGTTTTTTTATTGTAACACGTTATCTTATACACTGCACCGTCTAACTGTTGTAGTAGGATAGCATAATATGATATAATATTATGTAATTTGTTGTAACTTTTGGATAAATTTATTAATTTTTATTTTAGCACCAAAATTAAAATTAAAATTTCCCATCCTATCATAGATATATGGTCCAAACTTTCATACTTGGGCAGATGGTGGGATAACCATACACCTATAGGTTCTGACTTCGGCACAATGTACTGCAACTCAAATGTATAGCCTTAGACATTACGACGGTTAATATGGGAGATCACTAGATCAGTCGTCGTTGCATAGTGATAATATTGCAATATTAGTACAGTATTCGTATGTATTTTTTATGTATGGGCGCACATTCAAGTATACATGTACAGCACTATCGATTACGCGTCAACGAGAACTTGACGAAAAAAAAAACAAACACTATAGCTTATACATATATGCGCTCTGTAGAAAGCGGGGGGGGGGAATGCGTCGAGCTGCTTGCCGGGGGAGGTAAGTTTAATCACGTTAAAAGCGTTTTCGGATGGTTCTTAAGGGGTGGCGGACAGAAGTCGTTTTTGTATCTACCGCCACGCCAACAACCCTCCTCACACCCATCGACCACCATCCTCACGATCCCCGTATGTTTCTCCGGTCCTGTGGCGGCCAACACACGCGTGGGCCCGCTAAACGAACCCTATTTACGCCAAACAAACCCTATTCAACTCCGTGTCCGGGACAATATTCACCACGATGCGTTTATGGCCGTTAACTTCGCTTTTCTACGCTGCACACACACACACACACACACACTTGTGTGAGACTCGATAGTGTATAGGTTCCAATGTGTGCTGCATGTAATGAAATTATATATATTATATATATGTATATACTATATTATTATATACTACATATATAGTTTGGTAAATCGAGTTAACGTCGACGCGGCGTGTATAGTATTTTTCGAGCTTAATAACAAGAGTTTTCGGGTTGTGACTTGGACGCGCAACGGGGTGCAAAGATAAACGATCAACGCGAAAAAAAAATGTTATTAAAATCATTTTCGGAACGACGCGCTAGATGCGACGTCCGTATATTATTATATTATAATAACGTTCAATGGTGTACAACATGCTACTGCATCTTTATTACCACTGCGTGGCACGTCGATAATCGATCGATTTATCAATCTGATGGGACCATAATCACTGCAATATGTTTATAATACATCAGTAATATTTGAATTGTTTGAATCGTTCATGTAATTTCCGATTACGAATATTGTTGTATGAATACACAAAAAAAATAAAATACAATATTGTGTTCGTTTTAAATTCTGCATTATACCGTCGTTTAATCTCTTTCATCTAAAAATTAAACACTAAATAATAATAATAAAAATGCGTTTGATATACCACCTACTGTATACTACATACGAATCATACCTGTACAGTGTACTCCATAAATAACTAATATATTTATCCGTTTTGGGACGTTTTAAGACCAATAATTATAATATTTCGCAACCAGCGATTTCTATATTATAATATACATTCATATATAATTACGATATTATTATTTGCGTAACACTGTTACTGCCATATCCCCAAACATACCCGATGAAGTGCTTAGATTTCTTATAACCATTACAATTTCCCAGAACATACCAATATATCATACATGTAACGATCTCGAAGTGTAAGCCATAGATAATATAAGATTATATCTTATATTATCTATATAATATGGTGTGAACACTTGAACCTTCTACAACAATATTGTGATAATATACCTATAGGTGCATAATAATATATAATATTTGTGTTTCCCGCTTTTCTCTGTTTTTATGACGCGACGAATGACAATCCGTCCTGTATAATATGTCCATATTTATTAATAAGCAAAAGCAATGAAACTGGGATAGATTCGAGTGCGCTTGCATGTTTATTTAATATTTGATGACACTTAATGCAATTTGATATGATAATCGCTGCTTAGAACATATACTGTACCCGTTCACTGTAAAAAAATCGACAACTCGCAGTTAAATAAAAAAAAGTCAAATACGACGTTAACATATAAATATGTAGGTAATAAATTCGGTAATCCTCATTAAATATTTACTAACGCTTCCGTGAAAACAGTAAAGCCGTAGGTATAAGCATAGCTAAATATATAGGTATGATCGCATTAAGACGCATTTTCGTTATGGGCTGAGCACGTACAATTATTGCATGTTTTAGCATGGAAAAGAATTTTAGCTGGCAGTGGTTTTTAGATTTATTTACCATGAAATTAATAATTTGTATTGTAAATCGAAGTGATAATATTTACTGCCAGTGTCGGCCATGACACCTGCGTATCACAAAGTTGTGATCATTCCAATATATTTAGCCATGGGTATAAGTATATAAAATAAAATTTAAGGTATTCTGATTTCTTTTAGAAACCAAAAGTATTTTATATTATAAAAACACACTCCACATTGTTTTAAGCATTTTGATTGTGGCTTATAATAGTTCAAACTATTCATGTAACCATCGTAATAAATCTTGCTAGTTAATTATTTTTCTTGTAAGCTCGGAGGTAGGTGACTTTAAGTACACGAAACGTTGTAAATATATACATTATACATAATACATAATAGTAATAATAATATACCACTGTTTATAGTATATAGGTAGATGTATTCAAAGCCGAGAGGAGAGCATCAGAATTAACGAGAAAGAATATTAGGCCCCTTTTGCTGGTGTACTCATTAAAGTCCGGCCCATTAACGGCGGCGAAGCCATTAGAATAATGTTAATTACAGGGTTGTTTACGAGAGAAACTAAATGCGAAAGAGGGGGGGGGGCTGAACACGGCCCGTGCCACTATTGATTTTGCATAGCTACATTCTGAAACTTTTTTCACCCCCTCCCCCCCTCCCGTTTAATTGTTGTTTTTTCGAGGCAGGTATAAATGTGTACGACGGCGCTCTTGATTTCATTCCAAAACTTTATCTGTATCTATAAGTATATATAATAACGAGTGGGAGATGATTCGGATGTTGGTAATTTTTTTTTTGCTGTTTGTTTTTTCGATTTTGCCTACTTATACTCGGTTGTAATATTTAAGTCCTGAACTCATTCGTCGTTTTCATACCATATCATTATTATATGCACGTATCTCGTAGTGGCATATAGAAGCGAACGGTGTGCGGTGGCGGCAGTGACGGTTGGGGGTGAACGCACGCAAGGCAATAATAACAATAATAAAACCGTCACGTGTCCGCCGATGCCAACGGTCCCGGAACGTCGGTTTTCGAACACAAACGGTTCCGGACCCGGCACACCGCGCACACTCGATACAACCCTCAATTTGCCTTTTTTTTTCTTCCTCCGTTATGTCCGTCCCCCGCCGCCACGTCCTCACACGCTCGAAAACCGCACTCGGACCCACGGAAGAAATTGAAAAACACACCACAACCGTATTATATAGATACACGTATAATAATAATAATAATAATATATTACTCGGCCGAGTCCCCGGGGAAGAATTTTTTTCACTCCTGCGCGTAACGGTGGTGGTGGAGAGTAGTAGGGAACGAACCTCCACCGACGCCGTCTCTGGGGATGCGATACAAAAAATTAACGTCTCCGACGCACTGTAGCACGCGCGTGGCTTATAATGTGGTTAAAACGCGATAATTTTCAGTTTGCGCCGACGACAATACATGTAATATTTATACATATGCGGTGTATACTATATAGGGCGCGGTCGGTTGACGTTTCAATCATCCCTGCCGCACCACGTGCTACCGACGACGCTGGCTATATCGTATATCTTCCTCGTCATCGTTATATTGTATTACATCGACTATATACTATGTATAGGTAGTAATATTATTATATAATATTATAATAATAATACCGCGTTCGCGGTCATCGACTCCTGCACGTACACTGGGTATACCTATACAGCGAAATTCTATTCTCTACATTTTTTTTGGAGCACATCGCTGCAGGTTTTTAAGTGCGAGAGTGGGCAACTATATATCATTCCGTCGTCAGTCGTCACAGTACAATATTATTACAATTACTAATTCGTCGTATGATAATGTATATTATTATAAATATTTATTATTTATTGATTCGTCTGATTTGAGTTCCACGACCATGGAACCGAATCCTGAATATGCGTCTTCATAAGCCCGTGTGTACATAGATTTAAATAATATCCAATACATTTCGAAAGCGCACATTCACTTGTATATTACAGTAGTATAGTTGGATATATGTGTATACATTATAAGCGGTTTACGTTAATATCGAGGTCGCGCTAGTGCACGCTCACTCGTGCATCATCGAGACAATCGGTTTTTCGTCAGTAGTATATACTTATATTATATAGGTACATATTATTATTTGAGTTACGCCACAAACACACCTGCCTGTGCTTCAGGTAGCGGTGGGCCCGCACTGTTTTTATCTTACCGCTCCGAACAAATATTATGTTTGCTAGCAAACATCAAATATTGAAAAGTCGTATATGGCGTATAGAAATATATAGTATATAGACGTATAGGTAAACTACGCATACCGTATAAGAAAACGCGGGAAAATCGTCCGCAGATGTATAATATGCACATGTTTTTTTTTATAGAGAAAGTTCTAAAACGCGGAAAAAAAAATTAAGTCCCCGGAGATCGTCTAGACGCTGCAGCGTTGCCGTCGTGTCGTTGCATTTTCAAATAAGTATATAAATAAGCCATAAAATATTAAGATAAAACACCGGGTGAGGGGATTGTGTGTAAAATATTTATTTTACTTGACATGCCAAAAAAACGAAAAAATAATGATATAGGAAACATTAAGCCGCGTACCTATATATTTTAAGGTTTAAAAAACAAAAGTTCCCACAGAACGCAGTCTCTTAAAGAATAATACCTACTCCTTTGCGAAAAGTGCGTGTTGTGTGAGTATATACCTACACGTTTCAGGTAAACCTTTATAAATAAATTCATATACACATATTCATGTGCGTGTATACCTATACACTTTTTCTCCCTGTAGGCTAATCCTTTGGATTTTTTTATCTTCGACATTTTAAGGATGTGCGTGAACAAACAATAGGAAGGGAAGCTTTTAAGAACTCTTCTGTAGCTACTATAAGTTTTTGCTGAAAAATACATGGGAGATACAGAATATATTAAAGATAGAACCAAAAGGTATATTATATATTATTGTATAATATGTAATATATTATATCAGTAGTTATCATTATCATGATCCAACGAGTTTAAGTAGGTACACCTACAGTATTTTTCAATGCATATTTTTCCACATTTTGAAGATTTTCAAATTATAGCAATAGAATGTTTATAAATATTATAAGTACCTATTTTATTTTTATAATACCATGTATAATTATTAGTTCATCTAAAATATAAACAGTAATTAAATATGTCATACTAATAAGCAGTAATAACATATTTTTTTGGTACTTTAAAATATGTTTTATATAGTGCCTATTATTGTAAGTACAAATAAAATACGTTTACGTACATTAAATTTTTTCGTTTTTGTAAAATCATCTATAGTTTTTCATACATATAAGTTTTTTGTGCATGTTACGTCAATTTTAACACGTATAATATGACGTTATAATATATAACTCAACTGTCCTAGTTACGAGAAACAATAACACATCAAGTATGTTCGGTGCAATGACCGTTTCAGATTACAATTGAATTTCGCAGTGTGATAAATATTAAAATCAGAACCCTTATATTCAAATTTCATCGAACAAATAGTTTTTTTTATTTGCGTATATGCTAACGCCGCAAAATATTATATACACACGCACCGTTATTCCCTCTTCGTCGACGGTTCACGCAGTTGTACGCGTGTTGCGACATAATATGACGCGTATACTATAAACGATATACACCTATATATATTATATACATAGTGAGTGTACACGTACGACTGATGTAGAGTGGTGTAAGTACGACTTCGAAGCGGTGGAAATCCAAAACGAATATTATTTTCCCAGCTGTCGTGGGCGATTTTTTTTCCAACACCGGAGTCCTGAATAGGCTCTACAACGATAACGACGACGACGACGGTGGCGGGGGACGGATAGGGTTATCATACATAAGGAGCAGGCAGGACATACATATATATATATTATAAATGCACTGAAAGCAAGGGGCCATGGGAACTGGACCACTTGTGTGGTCTACCCCGAGCTGTGTTTACTCTTCAGCAGCACCCTGCAGGATTTTTATTCACTCCCGAAAATCCCGCTAACCGAAATCTCGGCGCCCGTCGTCGTGTATACATAATGAATAATGATATATAAGGCCGGCTGCAAAAAACCATCCATTAACAGCATTGCCATCTACAGTCTACACTCTACACCATATAATAGACTATATAGTATCATACTATATATTATTATAGTAATTATTAGCATTAGGTAGGTATAGGTATATTAATATACTATAATGTATATATATAGTGTTTGATTTTGACCAGAGGCAATTATTTGCATCAAACAGCCCGTGTCAATAGAGAGAATTTTTTAGGTACCACGTATCTACTATACAGCCTAATACTGCAATATAACATTACTGCGACGGATCGGGAACGCGCCTTGTTTTAATCGATCGAATAAAATGATATACCTAGACGTACCTCTATTACACCACCGTTTGCTGTAAACTCAATAATTATAACAGGCCGTTTATTGGTTTCAGACTCGTCAGAATCGGGTTCGAACAAGTGTTCGGGCCGGACCGGATCGGATGGTCCGGGCAACAGCCGGCTGGGGTCGGCGGGCAAAGGCTCGTCGGACGGCAAACCGACCCGCGTCCGGACCGTGCTCAACGAGAAGCAGCTGCACACGTTGCGGACGTGCTACTCGGCCAACCCGCGGCCGGACGCCCTCATGAAGGAACAACTGGTCGAGATGACCGGACTTAGCCCGCGGGTCATACGTGTGTGGTTCCAAAATAAACGGTGCAAGGACAAGAAACGCGCCATCGCACTCAAACAGCAAATACAACAAGACAAAGTATGTATATACGATTTTACGTATTTCGTGACTGGTGCCGTTCTCGGCGTTTAATAATAATTATGATAATGTGTAAAGATGATTATTTTTTATCACAAATATATTTTATTATTATTATTCAAAGACTACTAAAAATGTGAAAACAAAACGTATATAATATAATAAGTAAAACCGTACAGCGTGTGTTTATTTAAAGTAATATTTAACATACCTAATATAGGTAGAATTAATCGTATTTTCGCTTGCATAATAATTAATTCTATCATCGTCCCTCGACGACGTAAATTTCGTATTCGATGTATGTAAATGTATTATATATTATTATGCGGCGATCAGAGCTGAGCGCGTAAAAAGACCCGAATGGTCGTTTGACAATAATATATTTTATACACGTACGAGTGTTATAAGCTTTCTATTTTTGAACGGATTAAACTTCGAATGGACAAAATCGGTGACCGTATTTAAGGGTTTATTAAAATTTTAAGACTATTGTGAACAAATAAACGTGTATGTTTGTATAATAAAAAGGGAATAATATATTATATTACTACACACACACATAATATAATATTCTCGAGTTTCCATTTAGCGGGCTTAAAACCGGTTATGTGCGTTCCGTGACGGCTGCCTTCCGATTACAATGTCGCCATCGTGTCGCCCGTTTGGCGCCGCCACCTCAGCCGCATCAGCCGCCGCGGATGATATCGCCGAAGTCGATAGATAAATGTGTGTTTCCACGCTCGACGTGACGGTATTTCCCATCGACGATGACGACGAAGCCGCCTTTGGTCCGGAGTCGTGTGTTGTTGTTTTTACATAATATTATTTCTTTTTTTCCGTTATCTCCATGCGACGCAAACGATAATATACCTCCCCGATCGTTCCTTCTCCGGAGCCCGACACTACAGTCGCTGTACATTATTATAATAATACAGTCTGGCTAGAAGTGGTTATGTATAGGTATACCTACACCGCAGAAGAGAACGCGACAGGGTTAATTAAATACGGTTATTATGGAACGCAAGACCATTAGACACAAACACGTAAACCTATTATAATATATTCAATAACCAATATATATATTTACACTCTCATACATTATAATATTTTATCTACGTTGATACGACCCATTGTAAGCGGCAGCGGTTGAAGCTGCGACCACCAATGGATTGAAACGATTTCGTATTACAAACAATAGAGCGACAAAAAAGCACTTTTATATTAGACGCAGTGACACGCTCGTTTTCAATGATAACGCCGAATGCATTTTACAATCGTGTATAATAAAGTCACATATTATATTGGTGTTCTGGAGCCTAACGCGTACATTGCAGGTACTGTTGTATTCCAACTTCAAAGTGTAAGCATTATCACAATTATCGAGATTTTTTTTTTACAAGTTAATCGATAAATCTTTAATCCTCGGTACTCACTGTCTATATAATAATATTATACTAAATATATTTAGTATACATTAATACATTATTATGCATTTTCTCAGCTATATCAAAATTAACCTATTCGTTTTTGCAAAGCCTTCGTTCAAAATCCAAATGAGTATTTTTACACACCTCACGCACATTTATTAAATCTGTGCACACTTCAAATCGACATTGACGGGTATTTCTTAAAATACCTACACACAAGCGCGTGCGCTCTCAGTCAAATCGAACCGAGTATTATTTTTCGAACCGTCAAATTTGGATAGTCGGTTTGTTGACGGACTGCCAACGACTTGGGCGGTGGTTTTTTCTCTTCAATCATTGCCGCTCGGCTGTCGTGTTATTATAACTTTTTTCTTTCCCCCTTCCCATCTCTTGCAGCCTGTGGTTCAAAAAACGTCGACGACACCGCCTCCGGACTCCTAAATAAACGTCAATATATACATGCAAGAAAGCCAAAAAACACACACACACCGCACAATAATATACCAATGATTTTTTTCTCAATATTTTTTAACCGAATCGAATTTTGTTGGTCACAAAATATTTACAGCAGTCGACAAATTAATTTTTGATTCACTTGAGACGTTTATGCAGGGAGCCTTTAGGGACGATAAGACGATACCTATATATATAGGTATTGACATTTTAAAAATTCGATAACTATACTTCCGTTGATATATAAATTCACTTATAAACTTAAGTAAGACACATTTTTATATAGGCATGAAATAATAGACTAAATTAAAAAATGTGAAGACAGGTATAAATCATTCATATTATACTACACCTATATTATTAATTATTATTCATACGTCTGCGTGTCACAAATTATATGATTGTCGATCGTTATTAACACTTCGGAATTGATGCATATTGTTTCAGGATGGTAGAAAAATGGGCTACGGTAGCATGCAGGGTATACCAATGGTGGCGTCGAGCCCGGTGCGGCACGATAGTCCGCTGGGCATGAACCAGATCGATGTGCAGAGCTTCCAGCCGCCATGGAAGGCGCTGTCCGAGTTTGCGTTACATTCGGACCTCGACCGGGTGGACACAAGTCAACCTCATTTCCAGCAGCTCGTCAATCAGGTATGTTATATTATAATATTTAGGTAGACTAATGCGTAATAATATGCTATAATATATTATAGCCCAGGCTCAGGGGCGTGTATAAGAGGGAAGCGAGTGTGCGGGATACTCCGTTGACTGTTGAGGTTGTCACTGAAATATTATTCTCTATACATTTTATAATAAGTGTTTTTACTCAATAACTTATTTTCAATATCTTTTCGTTTTTGTGAAACATTTCAGTATACTTTAAACTTATTTTCGACGTTAGCTTTGATTTCCATTGCTGCAATATGTTCTTACTAATGATTGTAAAACGCGATAGTTGCAATCATGATAGTATATAATATATATAACTGCAGTATAAACATTTAGATTAAACATATAGGCGTTGAACGCTTATATTAACCTATAACGCCTATATTAAGCCTTTGAATATAGGGGAGTTCGTGTCTCACTTAATATTTGCTTTTTCATATATTTATGACTTTTTTTCCGGGGATAATTACTTTAAATTACCTACTTTTTGGACATACGTCAGATTTGTTCCACTCATTCTCACAAAATGTATTTATACGCCACTGCGATTATCACTATTTATAGATATGTATTCATCATCTCCATTAAAAAACAATTAACCCGCGGCCACCAGTCACCGCAATACCTACTATTTGATCGTATATAACTCTGCAGTGTACACCCGCCACGCACACGACTGCATATAGCAACCGTGCTTTAAAATTATTATCATAATTATTTTACGACGACACGTCAGTCGAAGGTTTTTTTTCGGCCGAAACCCGCCGCTGTCAAGGAATCGTGTGTTTATTACATTTTTAATTTTACCATAATTACTGTCGCGTAGGTACCTACACACACGTGCACGCTGTATAGGTACTACGGCTATATGCGTGATGCCTTGACAAGGATAATCCCGGTGATATTATTGGAAAGTAACATAGCAGCAATGTGTGTGTAGGTACACACGACTGCGCTGTCGACTTAGCACGGGATTACACTGCCCCTGAATGTGTAATTACCGCTCGTGATGTGTCCGCAGCACCGGTGTAGTTGTACCTATATAATATACGTAATAATAAAATATATAGTGAGTGGTCCGGCCCGGTCACCGCCGCCATCCGTATATATATACAACTCGTGTGTTGTTGTGTGTGTGCGCGTACAGACAACCTTGTCCCGTCGTATAATATTATATTTTTTTTCTATCGTACACGCATAATAAATAGTAATGTGTATAATACGCACCTAAATATTTACAGGTGTCATGTGTGTATATATATATTATATATATGCATGTATTACATATATGCTACGTATATACAGGAGTAGTGCGACGTACATATTTTATTCGACCGAATGTAATTCGTGCATTTCTTATCGATGATTATTTTAATTCTTTTGGTTTTTTAAACAACACGCTCATCAATATACGCAACTGTATTGAAATATTTTAATATAATTTACACATGGGATAATTATAATATGTACCTATACCTACCTGTAAATATATTATAATACACATTCGATTTTTCATAATAGCGCGTGCGCTCTACGACGGATATCCGTCTGTTACGAAATCATAACGAATATAAAACCAATATTGTAATATACGTCGTGTAAACACGTTTTTTTTATATTTTAGTTTCACGCCTATAAACATTTTTACGATTGAAATATTATTAATAAATTATACGACTTTGTTATGCCTACCTGCATTATCTTTACTTAACCATTACCGCGGTTGTGTTTGCAGATGCACGGTTACGACATTCACGGTCCACCACCACCCATGACCAGGTTGGACATAGACCCTGGTCCCGTGGACATGATGCATCCGGATTCAACCGACTCGTTCGTCACGTACCTAGAGAGCGACGACAGCCTTCACAATGACACGTCGAGTCCCTAATGCAATCGTCGACACGTCTTCGCCACTGTCACGGGTGAGTGCAATATATAACGTATAATATTAAGATATTTGTTATATCCTTATATACACACTTTAGTAGATATCTACAGTAAAATATTTCGCTTTTTCCTAGAAAATCCTATTTAAAGTTGCACTTTTGGGCTTGTAATTTCGACGGCGTTTGCCTTTGCGCCATGGCAATAAAACCATGAATTCGTATTTCATCAAACGTGCCTATAACGGCTATAACCACTGTTTTACTAATGTTGTCTCGTTTCGTTTTGTGTTTCAGGACCGAATGACTACCCGTACCTACTTTTCTTGGCATACCTATTATATATCTTTAATTTGTTTCTATATTTGTTATACGTATTTTCTTCATCCTCTTGTCATGTTTACCTACCCCGCTCCCCAATAACGACGTTATGTAGAAACGCGTGGTGAACCCTTCATCGTCATAATAATTATAATAATAATGATATAATGATTAATAAACAATAATAATAATAATGATAATTATAATATTGTAATTATAATATATATTATATTATAAAAAATATAAGAATGGAGTGTATTTATATATTATATATTGTATTATATATCTTTGTAAACCAAATAATCTAAGAAAACGACGAGCAGCCTAGAAATGTCCGGATATCAGCAGCGGTCGTTACGGGAGGGACGGCTGTGTTGCTGCCGCGCGCTTCATTATTGTGTGTAATATTTGTTGTACGTTTCGTGTAAATATAATATTATAAATTATAATGAAAGAAATTCATTAGATTTTTATTAATCAAAATGTTTATTTGTTTTTTTGTTTTTGTTCGTTTTTTTTTAATGTCACTAATCTTGTTAGTGCGATTGGCTAATTTGTTTATACTTAAACCGATTAAAAACATATTATGCATATGAATTATTTTTCTTTGGTGTCGATTCAGTATTCATATATAAATATATGTTCGTATATATATTATATAATATATAATATATCATGCATAAATCCATTGCGTTGTTATTATTTTTTACCCGCCAAATGAACACTATTATTTATTAATATTATTAACACAATCACACAACTTATGAAACGAACGAGAACTATCGACTCGCCTTCCAACTGAGACATATTGCATATTTAGGTACAATATAATATAATAACCGCACGATCGTTATTCGTTCATATTTATTGGACAAATTCGTTATATTTGAATAGGTGTTCAAGCAATAATAATAATTAGTAATTACCCTTTGACCGTTACCGACATAATATGATATATTATGTACATAATAATGTTAATATCATATATCAACAAACCATGTGTTGTTACAGTAAATTCATTACTCGCCACTCGCGTTTATCATTTGTCATACGTACACATTACATAATATTATATTACGGTTTTTATGGTATGAATATAAGGCGATTAACCTTTAAATTGTGATATTATATTATAACGTATTAATTTTCAATTATCATAACATTCATAATATTCTTATACTCCCCCCTAGTACCTCTAACTCAATTAAACTATTTACTTTATCGATAAAAATACGACGAATGTTATTATATTTATATATACTACTATAGTAGTTTGGTTCATCGTTTTGTAGGTGTAAACATGTTTTATTGCACATAGTAATAAACCAAGACATGTACGTTTGAACCAACGCGTCCACACACATGTATTATATTTTACTTAATTGTATGTACGTGGGTCGTATTATTCGGTGGACAGGTAAACAGTCGGTTTGTTTGCAGTCAGACCTAATAATATTATGTGGGACACACTGAATGATAACGTTGCCGACGACAGATCAAATGGATATAGGACGTGCCTGTATAAATGCAATCTAAACTCTCCGTGATCGAAATTTGTGTGTCAACTGAGACGAATATTATCAGTCTGACCATCGGCTACAAGGGCAGAAGACGCCCCTACAAAAAAATATCATATTTTTGACGAAGCGTCCCTGTTCATTTAAGTTACCCAAGGTTAAAGGTATACCACAAAATGGTTATTATTATTTTGGTTTTTACCCATCTTTGCACATTTTAAGTTTGGTTGAATGTACCTACCAATTTTTATGTTTCTATAATTGAATTACCTATACATTATTTGAAAATGTTGAAAATTAGAAACACGCTTAACTTATTAACTATACACTTGTCTATTATGATTTATGGCACTAATTTGCTCATCACTACTTACACTTATTGACCTAGATGAGCCGTAGTCGTGCTCTGTTATTATCGGAGTTAAAGTAAAATTTGATTTCCTCACCATTTCCATCATAGTCGTTGTATTTAATAATATAGGTAATAATAATAAATTTAGGCCAAGGTAGTGGTGATTCAATTATAATTGTACATTTGTATACTATTATAGTCGATCGTCAGTTCAGTCTTTGGCTGCGGACCGAAGGACTCGGGCTATTCAATATTTCAATATAATTTGTGGATAAGACTAAAGATTAGGTTACGGACTCGGGCTATGAAAAAGGTACAAATTAAAAACTGGACACACTCGGGACCTCCCCCCGCTATAATGATGATGGTCACCGCAATGCCACGATGACCCACAACCACACACAGTTAGAAATCTGTAGTTATAATTCTATACACGCGTTGGTGTCAATACACAATTGACTGTTGAGTGTGGATTTTGTTCTGGGAGGAGCTTAGCGCTGATTTCACATTAAGCAATAGTTAAAATGTGAGTTTCTTGTAACTCGGTCACAAAAAAAATTTAGCAGATTTCCCGAAAATTCCTATATTTGATTACCTATAATAATATTATGTGCCTACGAGTATAATTTTGATGTAGACAGAATGCAAATAACTACATCGCGCGAGTATCGCCATACTTTGCCCTCTGTCGATCAATTAATATATTTATATGGCTACGATTATCGGTGTGCGTATGGTTATCGCGATCTTGTGAAATGTAATATAATATTTCAAAATAATATTAATATGTTCGTATAGGCTCCAAGACGCTCGCGATTAACGGTCGGTCGATGATCCGAAATAGTATATAGGTTACAACGACAAGCATCAGCAGTAATAAAACAATACATACACTAGGTATACAAATTTCTGTACTTGTTTTTCGGTATCTATATTAGGTAAGTAGTATAAGTATAAGTAAACTAAAATAATTAATAAAGTTAATAAATTACCGATATTTTATCGTTTTCCACACTGCTCGAATCGTGTCAAAACTTGTACACACGTGTCACTTATATAATAATATGACTAATTTAACGCGCCTTACCTAAGCAATGTGTGTGTTCTTAGAATGAAAATCGAAATCGCTCGTTGTGAGTTGGTGACAGCACGCAACGTTATTGTCACCGAGAAAATTAGCTCCACGTGATAAATAGTCGTACGAACGACTTTCACACATGACGTCATTATCGAGACGTAGGTACCTATAATTGTCATAAATAAATTCGTTTTGGTGTAGATATATGCTGCAGACTAGAAATAAAATTGTCGTCGCGAAGACAGCACTGCCACGCCGTGGCGGCGAACGGTCACGACTCTTTTTTTAGACACTCTCGTTTTCCACCCTACGATATCATAATAATATAATAATATCTCACTCGGTCGTTCCTCTCGGGTTGGATACGGCGGGACGTGTGCGGCGCACATTCCGGACATCTACGAGAGGGTGTGTGAAGCGCGTACGGTGAGTATAATACTGCAGCAGCGTATATAATATAGTTGTATATTTTATGTGTATATATACCTTGAAGAAATAAACGACCCGGATAGAGTACCTATAGTGCGTCGTAAAACGTGTATGAGGAAATAGTGTCGGCGAGAGAGGACCGTGGCTGTGCGGCGGACGATGTACAATATATAATATGTATACGGTGGGCAAGAAAAGTTTTAAAAACGCCGACGCCCTCTCCTGCTGCTGCTACTGCTCTATAGCAGTTATGGGTCTTGATTTCGCCGTACGCGGTATATATGCAATATACACCGTGGTAATATAGAGGGTCCAAATGCGAACGAATAATATACGCGTGAGTGTGTGTGTGTGTGTGTATATATATAATAAGCACGTGATGTGCGTGTGTGAGTGAGTATTTATACTTGGATGTATATGACGTATACAGTGTGCGTGCGGTGTGGTGTGGTACCGCGCCCGATTACCCCCTAAAAGGGTCATGAAAAATGTATTTTCCGAGGGCGTACTCGGAAAAACTCCACCCCACCGCGTCCGCCCACGACCACTGCGCTCCTCACCCTCTGGCTAAGGACGCCGCCCGGTATATTATATGATTGATGGACATCGCTTGGGTTTTCCCCCGTTCACTCGCGCCCCTTGATGGTACCGACTATACCTATTCACGCACACACACAACAGTATACGACTTTATATATATGGGTATGTGTGTGTTCAATCAATTATAATGTATTGTGTATGCCTGACAAAACAGAATGTGTAATATATATACGTGTACTGCAACAGAATGCAATCCAGAAAGTTTTATACTGCGAGTTGCAATAACGCTAGCGCCTTACAGACTTACAGTATAATTTTTTATCTGTGTATATACTTCGTTATGTGTACGATGTCAAGCTATAGGATAGGTTGAATATTTTGTTTTTATAACGTGGTGACTTATTAGATCTTTATAGAATCGAACGGTATAATAATACCTAAGGTATATAACGGTACTTAAATTTGGCGAAAACAAACAAATGTATTGAGACAATTAGTATTGTGTTTACATAAAATAATATATCTCCCCTTTTTAAGCACGTTTTCTAGGTATCTACTCGGATGAAATGTATTATGTATATTGTATATTATTTTATAAAATATATTTTATAATATATCATAAAAAGTGTACCTGAACATTATATATTTATCGAGCAGTATACTGCAGTAAACGCTGTATACACCGGTACTACCAACTCTCAGTTTGTATATTTGTATATATTTATATAAAGGCGTCGAAACCGCAAGTCAAAAGTTTTGCGAGCGTCA